GACCTCTGGGTGTGTATGCGGCTGTGTTTCAACAAATGTTAGTCACCTATGTGTCACAGATACTATATTGGACAGTCAGAATATAAAGTTGAAGAATGAGGCATGCTTCCTTCAACACATAGAATATTTTACTTTTAAATACATGACTGTCATTAAAGCTACTTTTCAAAAATGCTGGCTGAATTTACTGATTCCCATCAGTGAGTCTGGCATCCATGACTGGACCAATTTTTTATTCCCTGTACCTGGCTGGAGCTAGGCAATGGGGCATTTGATGAGCAGGCTTTCTCTAACTTTTTTTAAACCTCCTGTACTTATAAACTCAGGGGTAACTACAAGTCGAACAGAAGAAATCTCCTTTAGATTGTGCAACATTTTAATAATCATGTAATTCTCTGCTTAAGGTTAAACAACCCTATCTTGACCCCTAATACACTGATTTCTTTCAATGTCATTTAATAATGAATACTATCAGTATCACAAACCTATTTCGTTACCTTGGGGAAAAACTAGAATCCTTTTCCCACCACTTGCTTAAAATATACCCGAGGACTTTGATATTTTTAGCTTTGTTTTGTCAACTCCTATATTCATCATGCACGGCAGAGAAAATTTAGGTGGCTTCTAGCAAAATAATGCAGAACACTGTAACAGTGACTGTTTTCCATAGCATGAATTAAGATTTTTTACAAGTATTTCTAGGTACCTTATTACACATGGTTGCTCCTAGAACTTCAGATTCAGGTCAACATTTTCCCTCCATCATGAACCCCTCACCCCATTCTACCCTCCAGATGAAGGGACAGTCAGGGTCATAGACAGCATACACTCTGCAAAGATTCAGGGTATTTCTTCTGTTCTTAGAAACTCACTGTGGTGGGTGTTGCTGAAGACGGCTGCTGTGTGCAGCTCCTGGTTACACGACTTCCACATTAATAACACTGGAAAACAAGGTTATCAAGAAAAAGAAAACCACTGTATCACCAAGCATCATGTTATTTATGTTTTTCTTTGACTGTAGTTTAGGCAAAATGTTGGGTGAAAAAAAGTTTAAAGACACAAGTCCTTTGTAGGATAAATTACATGAATTTAAACAAAGTGGTTTTACTATAGGACATGGCTTTGTTTTGTTTTTATCCTGTAAAAAACTGTAAGCATGATATTTGGGGCACTTGATTATAGTCATGGAACAAATAACACTGCTAGGATGTCCCACATGTGTTTAAAAAAGAAATGTCAGGTGCCAGTGGCTCACACCTATAATCCTAGCTACTTTGGAGGCTGAGATGCAGAGGTTCACAGTTCAAGGCCAGCTGGGCAAACAGTTAACGAGACCCCCATCTCAATAGGAAAAAGCTGCGCATGGTGGTGTGTTTCTGTTATCTCAGCATTGGTGCTAGCCTGGGCAAAAGGTAAGACCCTCTCTTCAAAATAATCAGAGCAAAAAGGGCTGAAGGAATGGGTCAAGAGTCTAGTACTGCCAAAAGAAGATTTGTGTTTGTTAAAGTCGAAGGTAAGAGTGCCCTGGTGGAAAATAAAGTGTGGAGGAGACAGTAGTGGGAACCGGAAAGGGAATGTCTAAGTGAACACCTGGAGGGATAAGGACACAGCCATACAGATAGCTAGGGGAAGAGCTCTCTATACAGAAGGAAGAGCAAATGCAAAGGCTCAGAGGCAGCAATGTGCCTGGCAGTTTGAAGGAGTATCAAAGAAGGCAAAGGGTTTCGTCTTAAGCTCCTTCCAATTTAAGGGCAAAATATGTCATCACCACAGCCACCTTCCTATCAGCTTCTACAGCAGGAACCTGCCCTGGGCCACGCTTGCTCAAACCCCTCAGTCTTACCAAGGAAGAAACGAGGAAGAAAACACTGAGTAATCTAAGATCACACAGCCACAACCAGCTGAGAGAGCTTTAGCACAAATATCCCTAACTCAGCACAATGGTTTTGTCTCATGCTTAACTTTATAATGAAGGGGAACTTTTCTTATTAAAAAAAAAAAAAACACAAACAAAAATAATACAGCCTTTTGTAATCTAAATTCTTTAAGCTTAAAACTGATCATTTCACTTTTTCATTCAACAGGTGGCCAAGGAGATATCCTTTATCACCCTAAATGTCTGCTGAGGAATGAATGAAATAATAAAAGCTACCACTACCCCTACATCTTGCTACCCAGTAATACATTATATAGGTGTATAACAGAGAAATGTGTGCACAAGCCTGTTTTAGGATGCATACTGTATTATTTACTAGTTATAGTAAAAAAGTGGAACTAGACTGTCCCTCAGCCAGAAAAGTGCCTGAAAAACTGGAAACTAATATTCTCTTGGCAAGAGAATGAGTACACTGTAATTTATTCATACACTAGAATTCTCTCTAGCAGCTAAAGTGAATAAAGATCTATATGTACCTCAAGAAATGTAACTATAATTTTTTAAATGCAAACTATATATATATATAATTATGCTGCTTATGCAAAATGGTAAACACAAACTTGCATATATTTTTGTGGATATACACAAAATTATCAAAACACACTTGGAAACTAGATGTACTAATTCCACATTAGTGGTCACCTGAGGCTGGAGAGGAGGAAGAATATAGAAAAACCTTTAAGTCACAGTTCATTTTTACTTGAGGGGCAGAGATAAAAGAAATATGGAAATATTAGCAACGTTTAAACCTAGGCAATGAAAAAAATACCTTACTACATTCTCTTTTTATTTATTTTGAGGTATTTCATAGTTTTGTTTTGGAAGAAAGGAAGGGAAGGAGGGAGGAAAAGACAAAACCTCTCTATCACATTCTGGTAACTCCAAGGCACAACTGTCTTTAACTTCCAAATCTCAGTTTCTTCATGTTTAAAGCAGGGGGCTGTAGGGCTGGGGGTGTGGCCCAGTAGTAAAGCACCTACTTAGCATGTTCAAAGCCCAGGGTTTCATTCCTGGCCAGGACAAAAACAAAAACAAACAAACAACAACAACAACAAACAGGGGAGTGGTAGGTATACCTGTCTTTAGGATGCTTTGAGACACAGCAGTCTGGGGACAGGATTTCAATGTCAGATACTCCATATATCTGACACTATTGCTTCCCCCATATAATCCCCAGAGACACAGAGTTCAATCTTCCTACTCAGATTCACAGATAATAGTACTAAGATTTTTCAAGTGGGTTATAGCCATCAACACTTCCCAAAAAATGTCATAAAAGTGGCTCACACCTGTAAACTCAGCTACTTGAAGATTGGCCAGGGCAAAAAGTTAGGGAGAGCTCATCTCAATCAGTAAGCCTGCCCTCATGTCCTGAGCTTGTGGTCCCAGGGGGTGGCACAGATGTGAGGACCACTGTCAGAGGCTGAAATAGGAGATCCTGTCTGAAAAGTAAAGCGAAAAAAGAGCTGGGAGGGTGACTCAAGCTTAGCAAGCACTGAGACCCTGAGCTCAAACTCCAACACCACCACCAGAAAAAAAAATCATAAAACAGATCAAAAGAAGATAAATGCTACAATAAGTTCACTAATGACGCATCTCAGCATATGGAGATGAAAATTGTGTGGATACATTTATGCCATAAAATTGACTGCCTTACAAAGCCCAAGGGAGGAAAAAGCTCTTGTGTTAGTATCATTAAGAAAAGATTATCAGGCTATAACCATGAGTAATAAAACTCTCAGACACACGATTGACGGCGCGGGAGACAAAGAAATCAAAACCCATCCTCCCTGGGTCTCAGGGTCTCTACCAACTCTTCAGACCTCGAGGAGGTGAGGCTCCCCGCTAAATAAACTTCTAAGTCCTACTAATGGGAAAACCGGTCCCAGTCTTTGCTGGCCCTATGGCCCTCAGATCACATTCCCCAGAGAATGAGCAATGTCTCGTCCCTAGCTGTTGGGTGCCCTCCTCCAGGAAGGGAATCCCATCCAAATTATGGGTGACGCCACTGTGCAGGGAAGCCGCAGGTCCAAGGTGAACAGCCTTGAGTCCGCGGACTTGGCACATCATTGGCAATAAAAGAAAAGGGACCCTGGATATACTCTGCCCATGCTCAGGCTCCTGCGAGGTCCCTTTTGCCTATTCCAGGCACACTGGGCTCCAACTGCCTTAATCCCCCGTCTATTGCCTTTCCAGGTCTGATGGTCCCCTCCATGAAAGGGGGGATGCTAAGCCCAGGGGGTCAGCCGAGAAATGCTTGCAAACTGCATCACCTAGAGCTCAGATACGAACCTGCCCAAGCTGGCAGCAACGAGAGAGGAGAGTAAGGGAAAGATGCAGCGCTCCCAGCCTGGGGTCGCCAAGGATGGCGGGCTCCACATCCTCCCCAAGTCCCAGCTGCCCCAACTCCAGCATCCCTCCTCTCCACCCTCCTCCGAGCCGCGGCGGGGAAAAGGACAAGGGGGACGGAGGCCCGGGGACCGTGGCGCGCCCGTGGTGGTCTCATCTGAACCCTGGGGCCAGCAGGAGGGCTCCCCCGGGTCGCCAAAGGAACAATAGCGGACTGTGGGTCTCGGAGCCACCGGGAGTCTCCCGCTCGCACCTCCTTCTCTAGCTCCTCCAAGTTCAGCAGGGAGGCGGGTCAAGCCCACAGCTGAGGAACCGGGCGCCGGGCAGGACGAAGCAGGTGGGACAGGGTGCTGAGTCAAGGGTGCACCCCAAAGATCTCGCCGGGGTCTGGTCATTCATTCCCACCTGCGCTCTCACCGCAGCCTCCGAGGCCCCTGCCCTGCTCCAGCCCGCCCGCTAGTAGCGGGGTGCCCAGAGGAAGACCCCATCTCCTAACTTGGCCGGTCCTCGCGCTCTGCCCAGATCCCCGCCATCCTCCTCCTTCTCTTTCCCCCAGATCTGTCCCTCGGAGGACAGCTGGCGGACAAGGGAGTGTGGCGGGACCCTCGCAGCCGCTGCGCCCGGCCGCCTCCCTCGTCCGAGTCCCAGACACAAAGGCGGGGACGCGAGCCGGGACCCCGCGCCGGAGCCTCCCAGTTCCGCGCCGCGCACTCACCCCATCCAGGCGGCAGCGGTGGCGGCTCCCCGGGCCCCGCTGGCTGCGCCACCCCGCCCGCGGCTTCCCCAGGAAAACGCGGCGGCCGGGCTCGCTTCCTGCTCGGCTTCCTGCGCCTCGGTCCCTCCTCCTCCCCGCCGCGGGGGTCAGTGGGCGCCGCGGCTCCCGGACTGGGCGGGCGGGGCGGGGGCAGCGGCAGCACCACCACGTGGCCGCCGGACGCCGGCCCCCGCCGACCTGGATCCAGCGGGAGCGGGAAGGGAGGTGCTAGCCATTCCCCTCCCCTTCCACCCCGCGCGGCCCCAAATTCCGCGAGTCAGGTGACCCGGGCCCCGCGCTCCGGCCCGGACCTGCGGGAAGGTGCTCCTTGGTCGTGCGTAGCTGGGGGGTTTTTGTGTGTCTGTCTCTGCGGATGGCGGGATCCTTTTCCACCGATCGTCTCATCTTCATCATTTAACCTGAAGTTAGTGGACACCACGGTGCTCTGACCTTTGGGTGGGATGAGGTCCCTAATAGTGATCATTTCTGGTCAGCTTCTAAAGTTGTTTGTGGAGGTGGTGGGGCGGGAGAGCGGGGAGTGGGGGGGAGGTGTTGAAGTCACTGATCCAAGCCCCTTCTAAAGAGAATCAAATTGGTTTTATTTTCCAAAAATACTAAACAGAAAGTAAACTAGAATGAGCGCACATTCTGCGGACTGAACCGATTGGTTGGAGTGACTGTTTGCCACCACTCATCAGGTGGCAAGACAGAACTACCAGCGTTTAAGTATTGCTGTGCTTAGGAGTTAGAAGGGAGACAGCTTGAATGGACAGGCTGGATTGCGAGCAGGAACGCCCAGAAAGCACTGTCCTGGATGGGAAGGGCTGTGGGCCCACTGCCCTGGAACCCCTGCAGACCAGACCTTTGGATTCCTTTATTAATACAGGATTTCAAAGCTCTCCACCTACAAATCGAATTTTTCCATGCATTGCAGTCGTGCTGACCAGCTAGGACTGACAAAGTTTTATTCACCAAAGTCCCTTCCTTCTCCTGGTTAGTGCTGCATTCTTTGCAGAAAGGAGAAAGCTCTCTGGAATAAATAAGTGATAGACTTTTTTTGAGGTTTATTGTAAATCAATTGAATTTAAAGAAAAGGAACTACTGCCAATTCTAACAGAGACCAGTTTATACTATGTTGGCCGTTTCTTAACATCTGTAGGTCAGACAGTATCTATTCCTTCCCCCCAGTCCTATCCCGGCTGCATGTTCTTCCCTTCCTAACACCACACATCAAAGGTTCCTCAGGGAAGTGAACAATTGAAAGCAAGACTTACACTCTTCTACCTATCCTCTGTCCCGCTCTCAAATGAAATAATGCTTTAAAAGAAATGTGAGCTGGCAAACACATTTTTCTTTTGGGTTAGCACTGACAGTTTCAGTGACAACAGCGTTTCATTGTGGTTCATATTAATGAGGTACTCTAGGGTATTTCAGTTCGTTACAGTACTGGATCTGCAGTACTGAATACTTGCTTTTCTCTATCTTCTTAGTCTTGAGCAGTAGCAACTAGGAAGACAGGATTTGGAGTGTGGTAGAGGGTATATGACACGATCTTAGAAGTATTAACACGTGCAAAGTCTGTAGGAACAGTTGACAAGTTGAAGGAGTTAAACTTTTTTTTGGTGGTGGTAGTGGTACTGGGGAACCCGAGGACTGGTGAATGCTAGGCAAAAGCTCTACCACTTTAGCCACACCCTTTTGTTTGTTTTGTTTTTGAGATAGGGTCTTCTAATTTTCTCATGTCACCCCCCCCACCACCTCCCAGCCTCCTCTTCAGTGTGGTGCTCCTGCCTCCACCTCTGTAGTAACTGGGATTACAGTTGTACACTGCTAAGCCTAGCTTGGAGTTAAACTATTAAACAATGATTGTCGCCAATCAGTCTTTGATTCACAAAAGTTCTGACCCTCATCTATCAATGTGTTCCATCCACCTGACAGGAAGCCTATGTCAGCTTCCTGGCTCCCCTTGGTGTCTTGTGTGCTCTTCCCATTAGTTTCTAAGTTCACCCTCCAGCATCAGCAGTTCTAACCTGGGTGAGGGATTGATGTGAAAGGAAGGACTGTTGGCTGTTGGCTGTGCCAAGATCCTTTCCCAGACTCCCCCATTTGGAACTCAAAACCAACTTCCTATACAGTCTTTAGTTGCCTCAGATAACAGCTGAAGTTTGCCTCCTGAACAGGGATTAGTGATGAGGGTAGAATTAAGCTGAGTCTTCTTTTTTTTTGTCTTGTAGAAAAACTGACTGAGTTCTAAATACTTGAATATACCCTTGGTCAGAGATCGGGCCCAAGTGAAAAGGTTTTGACAGAGGCAGCAGGAATAAAATGTCCACCCATAATCAACATGGTCTGTTAAAACATTTTGGGAGGAACGGCATATTGTATTCATTTATCCAAAGCAAAGTAACCGTGCTGTAGTATGGAGACAATGCCAGGAGACAGGTGATCGGAACATTTCTTTTACTTACTTTTGAACTTCACCAAGTATTTTAACCCTTTCTGGTTCCATTTTCCTAAATCAAACTGTGGCCTCTGAGAACATTTTGTGTTCTAATATCCTAAGCCCATTCTTAGGAATGGGGCTTTTACAGGCAGAGTCATCTGGTCATTTTATGGCAAAACACTGTTCTCTGATCATTCTGGTGGTCCATTCTTATCACACAAGAGGGTTGCTATCCAGGACTTAGCAGGTCTCCATAAATGAAATTCTTTGATTAGTAGAGCTTAACTTTCATTAATGAAATTAAATAATATCATCCCTTCTTCATTGCCCAATCTTCCCCTCAACACTGGTTCTCCCCAGTTTAGGAACATTTGAAGATTAGGATAGTAATAATAATAACTGCCTCTGAAGGAAGAAATACAAGATGGATATCATGCCAGAGCCATAAAACTCTCCACTTTATTTGGTTTGTGGTCAGTACTGTAGTTTGGATCTGGACTGTCCCCCAAAGACCCATGTGTTGGTCTTGGGCCCCAGAGTGGCATTATTGGGAAGTGGTAAAACTTTTAGGATGTGGGACCTAGTCAGAGGTATTTAGGTCCCACAGCGTGTGCCTTTGAAGGGCATTGTAGTACCCTAGTCTCTTCCTCTTTTTCTTTGCTTCCTGGGCCTGAGCAGTTTTGATTTGCCATGTGTACCTGCCAGAATGTGCTGCCCCACCACAGGCCCAAAAGCAATGGGGTCAACCGATAACGAACTGGGGGCCTCCAAAACTGTGAGCTGAAACAAATCTTTCCTCTTCATAGACTGACTATTCCAGGTATTTTGTTATACTGACAGGAAGCTGAATAATACAGTGAGGAACTAAAAGCACTTCTGTTAGAAGCAGCGTGATTCATTTCCTTTTCTTTTTTCTTTTTTTTTGATAGTACTGGAGTTTGAACTCAGGGCCTTTGGCTTGGCAGGCAAGCACTCTACCACTTGAGCCACATCCAAGCAGAAGCAGCATGATTTAAAGGAATGTGAAGCTGTTGGACTCAGTCCCGAAAATGGGAGAAAAACAAAGTAACACAATTAGAAGGTTGGAGGGAAATAAGCTACACACACTCACAAAAAACCAAGTATTCATAGGAAAAAAAAAACCACTTTTTGTATTTTCCAAGGGATGTTTCAGTAGGAGGAAACTAACACCAGAGAAATTAATGAAGTAGCTTTTGCATTGCTTTTCATAATTTAGCAAGCCTGTAGCCATAAAGTGCTAATTGGCCCATGGTTTTTCCCAGGAAGCCAGCAGAGATTGTTGCAAGGGTAGGTGATGACACTTTCCATCTCATCGGGGTTGCGCACCCGCTCAGGAGATGAACCTCAGGTGTTTGGCAATAAATACATTCCAAAGCACTGCTTCAGGACCTGGTTTGCAGAGTATGGCAGAGAAGCTAACCATCCCTGCCTTGGCATTATGGACCTGAGAAGGCCTTAAGACTCCATCACATCTGAATAATGCGAGTCTCCCCACTGTGGCAGCTATAAACCACACATGGTTTATAGTACTGGGTACTTGAATGTTGCCAATCTGAATCAGGATGGGCTATAAATGTGAATGAAGAGTTCATAAGAATTTTTTTTAAATGAAAAAAGAAAAGTCAACATTTCACACCCTGTCTTGATCATCACAACACAGGACCCAGCTATGCTCAGAGCACAGGGCTCTAAGCCTTGCAAGCAGAGTGAGATTAGGTAACAAGGGTAGGGTGGATCTTGTGATGGGCCTTGCAAAAGTTGATGCTCCAGAAAGATTGCTTGACAGAGTGATTCTAAACCGAGCTGCTGTTTTTGTTGGCCTGGTTATCCTTGCTTTCTGTTACAGCATTGAACCTGAGCTCCGAAAGTCATGTTTTCTCCATTGAGATCAACTTCTGCTTATGAGATATTTTAATTCGTCTTCCTTATCCGATTCGTATACCCATAGTAAATCCGTGTACTACTTTTCCTGACAAGTTATTTGGAATCTGTTAATTGCTTCTTGTTTGTGTTTTTCAAAGGCTCTGTAGCCATTTTGCTTCCAGTACTGTTACTTGTCCATTTTTGATTGCGCTCTACAATCCTTAATAGACTATACAAAGTGGATTGCTTGTTTTCAAAACTCTGCTTTCTACTGCATGAAGAACACATTTTTGAGACATTTTCCATAGCAGATTGTTAGTGCCTAAGGTATTTGACTGTACTGCTGTGAAGATATTTAGCAAAATTCCACAAGTTCTTTTTGTTTGCTTTGCCTTAATACAAATTCCTCCAACTCTCCCAATATGCACCTCAAGCAGGTTTCTCCCATTCAGGATGAGGATTCTTCTAAATTAATCATTCTTCTTTTGCCTTTCAAAAAGAGTCCTGTAATTTCTTGTTTTAGACTTCCAGTTTGAGTTTCAGAATAAGAAGATTAAGACGATGGAAGTGTTTCTGTCTGTTCTGCAACATTCCAGGCAAGATGGATGGACTTGAAGGAGCCAGAGAGATCCTTATGAAATATTGCTTCAACAGAGCAGAACTGGGAGGGAGGAGGTCCCAGAAACAAGTGAAGTAGGAAGAGTGGCCCCACGGCCGCTTCCTTCTGAGGATTCCTAGAACCCTCAGAATGCAGAGGCCAGAAAGACAAATTGGCTTCACAATCA